GTGAGGGGCCAGGGGATCACAGATGGACAGACTTGCACCTGCTGTTGGCAGCACACTCAATCTCATTAGTATTAGAGAAGATAGCAACAATAATCACAGAGCCTTCAGAAAGGATGGCCTTGGGACCAGTTATGTAGCCAGACTCCCAACTGACTGACTGTGGTTCGAGTCTCAAACTCAGTGACTTGAAACTCACACCAGGCATGTGCCCAAAATCCTGAGAGGAGAATGGAGGAGAAGGGATTGCAGTGTGGCCATCCCCTGTAGGGAGTGAATTCTCACTTTCTGTCTCTGTCTCTCTGGTGAGCACATATGTCCTATAGCAAAAAAATTTCTCTAAATAAATAATAATGTAGGATAACCTTTGGATCCCCAATCACGTTAATGCAGCTTGATTGGGAAATCCTTAACTTCTGCTTTATTGCCCCAGAGCACAGGCCCACCCTCTGAAACTGTGCATCCACCCCTCAAAGGGATGTCCAGTCTTAAGAGTCCAACAATAGTTTGAACTTATTAAGAAACATCATTACCTAGAGTGTGTCTCCTGTGAGCTTTGAAGCATAGTAAGAAAAATTATTAATAAAAATGTCAAACTAAAATCAGATGTGGGGAAGGGTCATGAGTTGAAACAGTATAACCCTCCTTATGGCCTAACTCAGCCTCAATTCCTGCTTCAGTGTGGTCTTGGGTGGAGATGACTTAATCTCACAAACACTTGCAATGGGCTCTTGGGGCTGAAACTTCCTGTGCCTCTCAGTGTTTCTAAGGTCTCTGTTCTCTTAGGTTCTTACACTGTCTTAGTTCATTCTGTGCTGCTATAACAGAATACCTGAACCTGCATAATTTATAAAGAGCAGTTTTACTTCTCACAGTTCTGGAGGCCAGCAAGTCCAAGGAGCCAGAAGGACAGGCTTGGTGTCTGGTGCAGGCCTGGTCTCTGCCCCGAAGAAGGCATCCTCCGGGGGTGGGGGGTGGGGGAGGGGGCAGAGCATTGAGTCCTCACACAGCAGAAGAGTGAGGCATTACTTTATCCGTGAGGATGGAGCTCTTGTGGCCTAATTGCTTTTTGCATGTTCCACCTTTCAACACTGTTGCATTCAAGATTAAGTTTCTAAATGCCCTATCACATTTTTCATAGTAATTTCAATCATATTTTTTCATTCCTTCAATCCATGTCCACTTTCCTCATTCTCAGATTTTTCTAAATGAGCCAGGACCCAACATGAGTGTACTCAGACCCACCCTCGACTTAGAAATGTTCTGGTTTCCCTTTGTAATAGCTGATTTTTCTTGGAAAGCTCTCAAGTGTTCTTTCCCACAGTCTCAATCTCATCTCTTCCTGTCAACTTACAAAATGTACCCTACCCATTACCCAAAATATCATGCGTATTTCATTCCTCTTTCTCTGTTGGCTCTTTTTTCTCAGCCTAGAAATATAGTCAATTGTTTGAGCAACTCAGATATGTATTACCAGGTAATGATAAAGAAAATGTCCATCTCAAAAAACAAATAGAAGTGCGTTAGGTTACATTATCTTCAGTAAGATTTTTAGGCAAAGAGTTTTAATATTATTATGTTAACTTAAAAATTGATAATGCATGTATAATTTATATAACTTGGTTAATCATGAAAACAGAAGAAAATATCTTTAGTTATTTGTGAAATATAAATTTCTAACAGACCAGTTCGGAAGGCCAGCAAGTCCAGGGAGCCAGAAGGACAGGCTTGGTGTCTGGTGCAGGCCTGGTCTCTGCCCCGAAGAAGGCATCCTCCGGGGGTGGGGGGTGGGGGAGGGGGCAGAGCATTGAGTCCTCACACAGCAGAAGAGTGAGGCATTACTTTATCCGTGAGGATGGAGCTCTTGTGGCCTAATTGCTTTTTGCATGTTCCACCTTTCAACACTGTTGCATTCAAGATTAAGTTTCTAAATGCCCTATCACATTTTTCATAGTAATTTCAATCATATTTTTTCATTCCTTCAATCCATGTCCACTTTCCTCATTCTCAGATTTTTCTAAATGAGCCAGGACCCAACATGAGTGTACTCAGACCCACCCTCGACTTAGAAATGTTCTGGTTTCCCTTTGTAATAGCTGATTTTTCTTGGAAAGCTCTCAAGTGTTCTTTCCCACAGTCTCAATCTCATCTCTTCCTGTCAACTTACAAAATGTACCCTACCCATTACCCAAAATATCATGCGTATTTCATTCCTCTTTCTCTGTTGGCTCTTTTTTCTCAGCCTAGAAATATAGTCAATTGTTTGAGCAACTCAGATATGTATTACCAGGTAATGATAAAGAAAATGTCCATCTCAAAAAACAAATAGAAGTGCGTTAGGTTACATTATCTTCAGTAAGATTTTTAGGCAAAGAGTTTTAATATTATTATGTTAACTTAAAAATTGATAATGCATGTATAATTTATATAACTTGGTTAATCATGAAAACAGAAGAAAATATCTTTAGTTATTTGTGAAATATAAATTTCTAACAGACATCCAATTTTAGTAAAAACGTTATAAGGTAGATTTTACTGGGGCTGTGAGGTTGTTTGTAGTTTAGTGCTATATAATGTCCATTCACTTGCCATTTCAAAAATATTGTTTGCTGTTTTAGGATTAAATATTTTAAGGCATAAGAAAGTTACATATTATTTGATAATTTCATATAAATGTATTTCATTTTAACTATTAGTGGTTATATGATGACAAACATTAAAAAATAAATTTTCTGAGACCAGCAGATGGCATAATGGTTACATTACTGGGCTCCCACATGGCTGACCACAATTTGAGTTCTGGACCCAGCGGGCTGAAATTCATGCTGGGTGCAGGTGATGCATACTCAAAATCCTGTGAAGAGAATGGAGGAGAAGGAAATCTCTCAAAAAAAAAAAAAAAAACAACTTAAAAATACTTTAAAAAAAAAGAAAGAAATTCTCCAAGGGGATATATAGCTTTAAAAAATAAAACAGGGAGGGGGACCAGCAGTTAGCATAATGATTATGTCACTGGACTCCCATGTAGTTGACCACGGTTCCAGTCCCAGACCCGGTAGCTTAAACTCACGCCAGGCGTGTGTGCGTGCGTGCCCAAAATCCTGAGAGGAGAATGGAGGAGAAGGGATTGCGGCGTGGCCATCCCCCACTTTCTGTCTCTCTACCTCTTTCTGTCTTTCTGGTGAGTGCATGTGCCCTATAGCAAAAACCTCTCCACAAAAAGAATAAAAAATAAAACAGGGAAGGACCAGCAGTTAGCGTAATGGCTATGTCGCTGGACTCCCATGTAGTTGACCACGGTTTGAGTCCCAGACCCGGTGGTTTAATATTCACGCAGGGTGCATATGCGTGCATGCCCAAGAGGAGAATGGAGGAGAAGGGATTGTAGTGTGGCCATGCCCCCTAGGGGGGGATTTCTTGCTTTCTGTCTCTTTTTGTCTGTCTGGGGAGCGCACATGCCCTATGGCAAAAAAAATAAAATAAAATAAAAAACAGGGAAACATTTTACTGCATTGTTCTAGGCTAAACAAACAAACAAAAACATATTGAATAAGATCTCAACATCACAGGTAACAAGCAAAAATAGAAAACTAGGATTATAGCAAACTATGAAACTTCTCACAGCAAAGAGAGCCATTAAAAGAATGAAGAGACAATAGACAGAATTAGAAAATATTTGCAAATTATACAAATGACAAGGGATTCATATCCAGAATACACAATTCAGCAGCAAAAACACAAATAATCCAAGTTAAAAATAGTCAAATGGGCTGAATAAACAGTTCTCAAAAGAAGGCATATGAATGACCAAACACATGAAAAAAATGGTCAGACTCACAGATCACCAGAGAAATACAAATCAAAACCCTAATGAAATACCATAGAATAGTTTTTTTGACAAAAAGTAACGGATTCTGATAAGGCCATAGAGAATGGGGAACTATTTCTTACTGCTAGTAGGAATGCAGATTAGTACAGCCATTATGAAAACAATACAAAGGTTTCTCAAAAAACTAAAAGTAGAACTGACAGATTTTCCATCAATCCCACTACCCCGTATATAACCGAAGGGAAGGAAATCGGTATGTGGTAAGGATACCTGCACTCCCATGTTCATTGTAACAAACAAGAATGCACAAGCTATGGAATCAACCCAAGTGCTCAGCAATAGAAGAATGCATAAAGAAAATGTGGTGTATGCAGCCAATGGAGTACTAGTCAGTCATCAAAAAGAATTAAATCCTGTCAATCAAGATAACATAGGCACTTCTGGAGGAAACTATATTAAGTAAAAAAACTTGGACATGGGGAAAAAAAATACCTATGTTCTCATTCATATGTGGAAACTGGAAAGATGACCTTATAGAAGCAGAGCTGAAGAATGACCACTGGAGGCCGTTCAGACTTGAGAAATGTAAGTTAACAGACATGAAGTAATAGATAAATGAGAGACAATGTCCAGTGTTAAGAACACAGGCAGGGGGCTGGCAGGTGGAGTGGTGGTGAAGGGTGCTGGACTCCCACATGGCTGATCGTGGTTCAAGTCCTGGACCTGGCAGCTTGCCTTCTCACTTTCTCTCTCTCTCATCAAATTTAAATAAATAAATAAAGTTAGATAAAATCTAAAAAAAAAAGAATACAGGCAGATGACTATTGTTAACAACTTCTAGGTATCTCAGTGTTGCTAAAAAGAGGATTTTGAATGTTCTGAACACAAAATAATGATAAATGGTTGAGATGACGGGTGTGGATTCCAGGCCAGATTATAGATTGTGATGCATCATTGCTAATTGATAATCCACGTAATCTTGGATGGTAAAATCACGTTGTACCCCTGCAAATATATGTCATTATTATATGTCAATAAAAATAAACTTATAAAAAAAAAAACCAGAGAAGCCTACAAAAATTAATACCATCTGGCTTAAAAGGACAATTAATCTTTATCCAATAAATATATATTCATGTTGCTAAATTTAACAGTTAAGAGGAAAATTTCTCTTAGTACTTGAATTTGTTTTTGTTTACCTTATAGACAAAGACACAGAAAAGTGCAAAAAATAAATCCTCTTTTGCAACTCAGAACTCATTGTTTAGAATGAATTTTGACACACATAAGAAGGAATATTAATGCTCAAGGCAGTTCAAAGTGATAGGGTTATTTGTATCAATAAAAGTTGGTTCAGAAAAGAAGGACTAATAATTAAAAAGCATTGGGCAATTATATTCTAATTCATCAGTTGACAGGATATATTAAGGTTATTATTTTATTTTTAAGGCTTTTATCTTGAAAATATGTCTGAAATTAAAGGTATTGCCACATCCCACAGATGCCGGGGGACGAATCTGAACTGATTCCTGTGCAGATGGTGTGAGAATTTGAAAGCCAGGCAGATGCGGCCACGCTAAAGTAGCCTTAAAGTCAATTATTTTTAAAAATTGGATCCCAGTGATCCTGGACCCCACCACACTCCAGGAAGAAGATAATAGTTTTCATGACCCAAAGCTTCAAGAAGAAGAATCTCCTGACCTTGGACCCACTTCAAAATTAGGAAAATTATGGGACCTACCCAGCATGTGCTCCTCCCTACCTGGAGGGGAATGCATGCACAAGCCCCACCTAGAACCTAAGTCGGACAAAGCCCTCCCTGGCCCACATAAAAACCACTTGCCACAGTTCTTCCTTGGCAACCCATTTTCTGGGATCCCTCCCTTCTTGGGAGCTCTGTTTTCCCTTCTCTTTCCTTGAATAAACTCTGTTTTGTTAATAAATTCCCCACTTTGCTAATAAACTCCCTCTTTGCTACACCTAAAAACAAACAAACCAACAAAAAGGAACATTTCTCTCTCTCTTTTTTATTTTTATTTTTTAATTTTGCCGTAAGGTACATGCACTTGCTAGAGAAAGCCAGAGAGGGACAGTGAGAGGGAGAGAGAAAAACCATCCCTTGGAGGGATGGCCTTACCACAACCCCTTTCCCTTCGTTATCCTTTCTGGATTTGGGGCACGTATGCAGAAGCACTCAGCATGATTTTCAAGTTGCTGGGTCTGGGATTTGAACTGCCATCAGCCATGTGAGAGTCCAGCACCTTAAACACCATGCCACATGCTGGCCCCAAATTTTTCATTCTTAACCAAAAAAAAAAAAAATCTATGCATGGTCATTTTCATTCATATAATACTAAATACTAACACGTTAACACTAATACTTTTATAAACCAGTAATGCACATTTCTTTGTCTGTTTTTTAAATAACTGAATGTGAAGATACTATCTGGAAACCAAACAGATGGATAATAGTCAATTCAAAAGATGCTCTGTTTTTGTTTTTTTTTTTTTAGGTTTTTGCTATAGGATGCGTGCGCTCACCAGACAGAGAGAGACAGAGAGACAGAAAGCGAGAAATCACCCCCCCAGGGGGGATGGTCATGCTGCAATCCCTTCTCCTCCATTCTCCTCTCGGGATCTTGGGCATGCACACACACACGCCTGGCGTGAGTTTAAGCCACCGGGTCCAGGACGCGAATCACGGTCGACTATGTGGGAGTCCAGTGACATAGCCATTACGCTAACTGCCGTTTCCCGATGCTCTGTTTTTTAATTGCTGAGGGCACATCCCTGAGAGAGAAAACTCCTCAACACGGCCTGATCACAGTGCACTTCACTTTCCTTCAATTCTTCATCCTATCAGGATCCTGAGTATGTGTGTCCATTAGGCATGGTTTTCAACCCCAGAGCAGAATTTACACTTCAGTTAGCCAAAACCATAATTGTTTTAAATTAGCAATGATAGTTTGTCTTTATCATTTTCGTTTTCATTTGTAATCACAGTATTACTCCCATTGTTGCAGGTTAGGGAAAAGTTTCTAAAAATATTCTGACCCCCACCCGCGAGCTGATTTCTATTATCTCTTCATTTCTTGCATTTGAAGTACTCTTCGATGATATCCTTGGCCTGAGATCCCTTGCCATAGGCCTTAACTACGGCACAGCTGCAACCAACCACTTTCTGGGGTTTTCCCTGTCCGTGTTACAGAGGCCTACCCATTCTCCTAGTTTCTTGGTGTCACCAACCTTAATCAGGTTGATTTGGTGTTGGGCACCAACTTGACATACATAGGCTCGTCACAGTTGGATGCAAGCACACACAGGTGGGCTTGGCCTGGCCATCGTGGATGAGGGTGGTCTTCAGCACCTCTTGTAAAGCAGTATTAACATCCATTACACCTCCAGCCGCAATGCCCTCCTCAGCCATGGCGGCGGATTACCGGTGGAGCCGAATCTTGCACACACCGGAGCCTCCGCCTCCGCGCAAGTTCGGCAGCGGCAGAGAAAGAGCCATACTCTCTCTTCTTTTAAATGTTGGTTTGTTTCTCCCATGAGAGAAAGATAGAGACAGAGACCCTGGTAGAGTCTTGTCAGGGCCTCCTAGCAGCAGGAACGCAGCTCACCCACAGGTGCACCAGAATCAAGCCCGAGGCCTTCCCAGGGGCTCTGGTGTGGGCAGTGCTGCCCCACCTCCTGTACAGGCTGGGCTGGGCCTCCAGTTACTTTATTTCACTGACTTGGATATTTTTTACTATTGATACTTTACTACTTAACAAAAGGGCCAACAACAGAAGACTTCAGGAGTAGCATGTAAATTGTAGCCATTTAAAAATAGTGTGGATGATCATTTACGAGCAAATATCTAACACTGAAGCATACATTCTTTTCAACAATGAAAATATCAGCACTTCAACTAAAGTGAAAAGGCAAACCATTAAATGAGAATACATCTTTACTTCTCATTTGAAGAAAATTTGTTTGTTTGCTACAGGGTATGTGTGCTTGCAGGTGTGTGTGCTTGCAGGAGACAGACAGAGGGAGAAAAGGAAAAAATGAGGAATTACCCCCTCCCCAAGGGGTCTGGTCATGCCACAGTCCCTTCTCTTCCATTTTCCTCTCTGGATTTTGGGCATGTACACACACGCTCAGTGTGAGTTTTAAGCCACCAGGTCTGGGACTCGAATAGCCCATTTGCCTATGTGAGACCCCTGAAACTCCATGCCACCTATAGACCCTAATATAATTTCTTTTCTTTTCATTCTTTTTTTTTTTTTTTTTTTTGGGGGTTTTTTGCTCAAGGGATTAGGACCTCGAGGTTTTTGCTATAGGGCGTGTGCGCTCGCCAGAAAGACAGAGAGCAACAGAGAGACAGAAAGCGAGAAATCATCCCCAGGGGGATGGCCACTCCACAATCCCTTCTCCTCCATTCTCCTCTCAGGATCTTGGGCTTGCATGCACACGCACACACGTCCGGTATGAGTTTAAGCCACCGGGTCCAGGATTTGAACAGCAGTTGACTATATGAGAGTCCAGCGACATAGCCATTATGCTAACTGCTGGCTTCCTAATATAATTTCTAAAGAAAGACTCTTTCAGTTTGTTTTATTAGTAGTAGTATTTTGCTATCGGGTGCATGCACTCACTAGAGAAAGGCAGAAAGTGAGAAATCACCCCCGGTAGGGAGAGTTGATGACCATGCTGAAGTCCCTTCTCCTCTTGGGATTTGGGTATGTGCATACACAAGAGCTTGGTATGTTTTTCAAGATGCTGGATCTGGGACTCGAACTGCACAATCAGTCATGCGGGATCTGGCTGCCTTAACCGCCATGCCACCTGCTCGCCCCCAGAAAGGTTTTTTGTTAATAGAGTAAAAGTTTACAAAGTCAAAATCATTTTAGGAACTATTTGCTTGTAAAATATTTCTGTAACCCTTTGAAATAAATGTCCCATCATAATAAAACAAAAATAGTCACCATTTATTCAGCAGGTCCTTTCTTCAGGAAGAGATGCCAAATAGCAACCTTCAGTGCATCTCACAAGTAATGACACTTACTCAGTGTGCTCAGCACCCACTCTCTCCTGAGCACGGTGAAAGTGACTTTATTCCTATTCATGGCAACTGCAAATTAGCATCACCATGGCAGCCCCAGTCAAGTAGCCGAGGAGTGCCCAGGGACTGTGCCAGGCACAAACAGCAGCCCTGCTAGCAAGCCAGTGGGGAGAGTCGACACGGAAATCGTACACATGGCGTGCGTGTGCCCCACAGCTATGTACAACAGTTATTTGTAAATTAGAAGTACAACAAAAATTATTATTTTTTCAAAAGAGAAAAGGCAGCCAAGGAAAGCGACCCTTTTACACATGGCACGGCCCAGGCCCTGTGGCCTCTGGTGGAGGAGGTCCAGCAGGGGCCAGTCAGGTCAGCCGTGTATCTTCTGAGGACTGAGATAGCAATTCTGAAGGATGAGACCCAGGCAGAACCATGCAGTCACGGCCATCTTGCTGCAGCGTGGTTGGAGTAAATGTTTATTCAGCAGACAAGACAAAGCACACATGATATGTCAGAGTCAGTGACGTCTACGTGTTCATTTTCAACGGGCCATGGCTATAGGACAAGAGAGAGTTGGGAATGACAGTGAATCGGACTTATTTTGCTCCTTCATGTACCTTGCAGAGGTTCAGCCTCTCACCTCGGTATTTTCAGTTCTTCGTATTCATCAGCAGAGTTTAGAAATTGTGTTTAATGGCACTAGTGTATTAATATCCATATTAGATACTGCATTAGTAACAGCATTAAATACTGCATGAGTATCTGCGGTAGCTCAGTAATAGTAACTGTGTTAGGTACTGGATGAGTAACTACATCAGGTACTGCATTAGAAACTGTGTTACATACTACCATAATAACAGTGTTAGATACTGGAGTAGCAACTGTGTTAGGTACTGCATTGTGACTGTGTTAGAGACTGCAGTAGTGACTACATTAGGTACTGCATTGTGATTGTGTTAGACACTGCAGCAGTGACTGTGTCAGGTACTGGACTATGACCGTTAGGTACTGCATGAGTAACCGCATTACATACTGCAGGAGTAATTGTTAGGTACTTCAGTAGTGACTATGTTAGGTACTAAAGCAGCAACTGTGTTAGGTACTACATTTTCACTGTGTTACTCACTGATTAGTGATCGCATTAGTTACTGTACTAGTAACTGTGTTAGGTATTGCATTAGTAACTGTGCTAAATACTGCATTAGTAACTGTGTTAGATACCAGAGTAGTAACTGTTAGACACTCACTGC